CACACACACACACACACACACACCTCTTATGGTTTTATTTGCGCTTACCTTATTCGAAATTAATCCACGCAATTTATCACATATTATTAAATGTAACTCAATAATATGACATGAATCCGAAATAATGGCATTAATTCTAGCCCAAAATTTTTGGCGAGAATTAATAATATATTAGAAATATATTATAACAGAAAATAATTTGCCAAAGCGCCGACGTAACGATTTCACGCCGATGAAATAATCATAATAATACCATGGTCAACGGCCTGGTTACGGTTTGGTCGCCGTGTGCGTCAAGTATACCCTTATGCCACTGCATAGTCATCGCGATTCGTAAGAGTTATTCGTGTAATAATAGTTTGACGACAACACCCAAAACTGTGGAAATGTTGCCCGAACACAATTCACGCAAAAGATCCATTAGTTTAAGTATGCATAAATGTMTTGAATGTAATTTATAGTGAAACACATTGCTCGTTGTATAACAATACTATTATCACACGGCTTTCCAGTTTTTTTATTTTTTTTATTTATGCGTTTTCCAAGATACAAATAACGTAATAAAACTCGACGTGTTTGTGACGGTGCTGTAATTAACACGCGATCGTTCGTCTAGACGTCAGTTTGATTGAATAAAACTGCATCGGACTCGTGGAGAAATCACAAAAACGTGTCAGTGTCAATTTTCACCATTTTATTTTCTCGGTGGTAATCTATTTTCGGTCAGTGGCAAAGGTCACGCGTATTATTATTTATAATTGAATTATGATACAAGTGTGTATCGAGTGACTACAACTTCGATCAAATAATTGACTCTGGTTGTTTCCCAATTATTATTTCTCGTATATTATTTTGACTATTTTCAATAAATTAAAAATTTYCATGTGATATAACAATAATTTAGTTATTTTTATGATTTCCATTTATTCCGAATTTTTTTCTTAAATTTGATTCACTTTTGCCCCAATCTTAGAGTACATAGATAGATATATAGATAACCTAGATATATTATGTAACAAGATTAAAATTCAACAACAGTTGAACTTAAAAAATGAAAAAAAAAACCCTAAATAATTATAATAATTATAGAGATATGTTTTTTTATAATATCTGCCTGAAGTAAGCGTGTTCAAATGTGGTGATCGATTATCGGAGCTTATATGTTTGCAAAAGTTTCAAACCCAATTTGAGTTATCAATATTGTCATTATCTTTAAAA